GTAAAACAAAAACCAACGAAAACAAAGAAGATAATGCAACAAGGTTAGTTTTCGCATGGATTGATACACATGGAGAGAGCAAGCATGCACTAAGATGGACTCATGCCGGAGGGGCTTCAAGGAAATGAGACTGCAACCGTATTGGCTTTTTCAATTAATAGAAAAATAAGAACATTAACAGCAATGAAGGCTGAGAGAATCCAGAGAAAAGCTGTGGGCCATGATACCATGTGAAATCTAAAGAGAAACTGAATTTCTTGTATATTAAGAAGGAGCCCATACATGGATATATATAGCTTTTACAAAGAGAAAGACTAGGAAGCTGTGCGGCAATGAAGGCCATGGAAAACAAAACCAATGAAAGCAAAGAAGATAATGCAACAAGGCTGATTTTGGCATGGATTGATACACATGGAGAGAGCGGGTATGCACTAGGATAGGCTCATGCTGTAGCAGCTTCAGGGAAATGAGGCTGCAAACCTATTAGGCTTTTGTGTTAATAGAAAAATAAGAATACTAACAACAATGAAGGTTGAGAATTCAGAGAAAAGCCGTGGGCCATGATCCCATGTAAAATTTAGAGAGAAACTGAATTTATTGTATATTAAGGAGCATAAAGGGATATATATAGCTTTTACAAAGAGAAAGATTAGGAAACTAGTCCCAGTAAATTAGATCAAATCAAACATCTATATAAATGGGATTTCTTAAAAGGTATACCATAATTTTAGGAAGATTGACTTCCTAATACCAACAACAATGAGAATGCGAAAGGAAACTTACAGTTTTAGAAAGCAAAACTTGAGGCTCCAATGACAATAATAAACTCAAATTTTCAACAATGCTTGAATAATAATCAAAATAGTTTGAATTTTAAACTCTGGAAACCTTTGTATATGCACTAAGGAAAATCTGAACCTATTTAAGGAAAAAATGTAATGGCAAATCCACTAAAAAGGAAAGTAAGCTTAAGAATTGTTGGTTCTTCGTCATTGAGAGTCCCTAGATTTAATGTCGTTGGTTATTTTGCTGCACTCCATTTTTTCCCCCATTCATAAAGTAAGAGGTCTTGACTCTTCAGGGGTCTACACCTATCCTAAGCTTTCTGTACATAACACTATTAGTCATAA